AGCGAGCTGGCTGAACACCAGCATTTATTGCTCAGTACTTCCTGTCTGTGGATACAATAGGACAGTCTGCCTCCTCCTGGTACTATGACTTTCAGATGGACTGTACCTTCAAACTGCAGCTCTAAATACTCCCTTCCTTTCTTAGGTTGCTTTGGTCTGGTATTTTGTCATAACAACAAGCATTGTCATAGACAGCTGATATAATGTAAGTTGGAATAATTACATGGCACAACTTGACAATGCCTACAAGTAGTAGTATTGGCAGAGGAAAGTGGAGATATGAATGCAGCAGTCGAGGTCCAAAAGGAGTTTCAAATTATAATTTTCTTTATAGCAATTTTGTATAAACTTAATTCTCAGAATTATCACAATGTCAAAAAACTCCAAAGCGAAACTTTGAAGCCAATCAGAATGTTAGAACAGAGATTGATTTACAAACATTTAACAAAGCTAAGCATACTTAAAATGAGCAGCACATAATCACAACTGTGTGAAGAACTGAAAGAGAAAAACAAGTTAAACTGAGAATCTTTTGATGAGGCTAAAGAGAAGAACTGTAATTAGCTTGGTAAATGTGTTTCTCACAGCGTATTGGGTTAAAACTCCTGAAATCACTTCATATTTTATACTAGAACTGAGTAAGTATATTGTACATAATGAGAATGGGTTTTCTTGTGGCTGAAGAATAAAAGACATATGGTGGGGATAGCTGTACTGCTAGAATGAACTTTGTGGCACTATGTTAGAATCATTTCTCGTGCATGTATATGATTTTTAGTATAGATACCAAAGTATAGCTGTGTATATATGTATATATTGACATAGAAACATGCTTTTCCATGCTGTATGTCTCAAATAGGCCTGAATATTGTGAAGCCTCAGAAAAACATTTATTTCTCATTGTGTGTGTGTATGTGTATGTGTATGTGAGTGGTGTGTGTGTGTGTGTGTGTGTGTGTGTGTGTGTGTGTGTGTTTGCGTGTGCACACATGCGTATGCATGTGCAAGTGCTTTTGTGTATGCCATGTGCCTATGGAGGCCAGAAGCAGATGAAGGATTCCCTGGAGCTAGAGTCACAGGCATTTGTGAACTGTTCAATGTGGTGCTAGGAACCAAATTTGAATCCTCTGGAAGAACAGGAAGTGCTTTTAACCACTGAGACATCACTCTAGTTCCAAGTTTCTTGTTTTATACAAGATGTAACCCAGGTCTTATATATGCTAGGGCAGACTTATCATCTCTGTGTCATCTTCATTTTAAAATATCATTCTTCAATAGAGAAAAACAGGGCTCCTTATAGAAGGTAGTGGGTTCTTAGTTCAGGTTCAAGGAAACAAATGTTAACTGCAAAATTAAGATACTGCTGGGGAAAAAAAAAAGGTCAACCCAAAGGAAATTTCAATGGCCCAAACTGGAAAAACTAAGTATTTGTATTCATTTCCTAGGAAGGCAGCAACAAATAACCAGAAACTACAGAGCTTAAAATCATGGTGATTTGGTAGCTCACAGCTCTACAAGACAGGTGTCCAAAAGCAGGATGTCAGCACAGTTGCTTCCTTCTGCAGGCTCTGAGGGACGATCTATTTTATAAATCCACCTTAGATTCTAGTAACTATAAGAAAGCACTGGTGATTCTAAGTGGGAGAAGTTTAATTCCAATCTTTTTCATCATTTTCACATAGCATACTTCTGTCTTCTGTGTGTCATATTCCAAATTTCCATCTATTGTACAATAACACTGCACAAATTCAGTTGGGTAGCTGTTGCCTTGCTTGCTGACCTTGACCACATGTCCTCCCTATGCTGATTCCCTGCCGCTTTCCTTCCTCCAGAATGCTCACCGGAGGTTCCTGGTTTGTGGATCCTGCATATTGGGCGTTAACAGCTTAGATGCAAGAATGTAGAACATCAGGAGCGAACTTCTGCCCTCCTGGGTTCTCCCATTGTACTATAAGCCTGTATTTAAGGTTTCCTCCCTCCTTCAAAACTGCTGAGACAAATGACCCGCTGTCTCTTGTCTCTGTTTTTTGATCCACATCCCCTCACTCGGATATGGTGAACGGGTGGTGGTAGCATGGGTGTTACCGCTACAATTCAGCATACTTGTATTTGAACTGAATTGCATGTGAAAAGACGTTATTTAAAAATGAACTCATGGTCTCCACCACCGACTCCCACAGGCACTCCCTGGAAACCTGCTGGCTATGATGGCTAGAGAATCAGATCAGTGCCTTATTCAGCCATCATCAGAGAAGCATCCTCCAGCAGTAGTTGGGAACAAATACAGAGACCCTCAGCTAGACAATGTGTAGAGAGTGGGAGACCTTGGAACATACAGCTCTTACTGGGATGTCTCCATCAAATCCCTCCCCTCAGAGCTCAGGGAAACCTGTGGAAGAGGAGGCAGAAAGAGCGTGGAGTCAGAGGGGATGGAGGACACCAGGAGAACAAGGCTCTCTAAATCAGCAGAGTCGATGAACATGTGAACTCACAGAATCAGATGCAGCATGCACAGGGTCTGCATGGGTATGCACCAGATGGGGTCCCATCACTGCCAGAAGTGCGCACCAGCCCCCATCCCTAAGCCAGAAGCTATTGATAGTCACTCATAAGTGAAAAAGAAGTTTTCTCCAAAGGAGTCTCACTGGAGATACAAACAACTCTTAAGGAGTGGCCCCATTCCCAGCAGTAAATGGACAACACAAAAAGAACTCAATGGCATTTTTTTTGTTTTATCTTATTTTTATTTATTTTACTATTATTCTTTAGATTCCTGTTTATTTTCTGTTTTATTAAAATTTTCAATTTATTTTACATACCAACCACAATTCCCCCTCCCTTCTCTCCTCCCACTCCCTCCCCCCACCTCCTTTCTACCATCCCCACCCATTCCTCAGAAAGGGTAAGACCTCCCATGGCACTCAACAAAGTGTGGCATATAAAGTTGAGGACTGACCAAACTCTTCCCCCCCACATCAAGGCTGAGCAAGGCATCCCACCATAGGGAATAAGTTCCAAAAAACCAGCTCATGCACCAGGGACGGATCCTGGTCCCACTGCTAGGGGCCCCACAAACAGACCAAGCTACACAACTGTCACACACATGCAGAGGGCCTAGGTTGATCCCACGCAGGATCCCTAGCTGTCAGTCTGGAGTCCGACACATGAGCTCCCATGAGCCTGGGTCAACTGTCTCTGTGGGTTTCCCTGTCATGATTTTGACCCCCCCTCATCACCTTGCTTATATAATCCCCTCTTCCTCTCTTCAACTGGACTCCCAGAGCTCTGCCCAGTGCTTAGCTTTGTATCTCTGCATCTTCTTCCATCAGTTACTGGATGAAGGCTCTATGATGACAATTAGTGTATTCACCAATCTGATTACCTGAGAAGACCAGTTTAGGCACCCTCTCCACTATTGCTAGTAGTCTAATTTGGGTTCATCCTTGTGGATTCCTGGCAGTTTTCCTGGCACCAGGTTTCTCCCTAACCCCATAATGGCCTCCTCTATCAAGACATCTCTTTCATTTCTCTCCCTTTCCATTCTTCCCCCAACTCGGCCATCCAGATCCCTCAAGTTCCTGTCCCCCATCACTACCCCTCTACCCCCCTCACCCTGGTTTACCCAGGAGATCTCATCTATTTCCCTCTCCAGAGTGATCCATGCATCCTTCTCAGGGTCCTCCTAGTTACCTAGTTTCTCTAGGGCTGTGGATTATAGCATGGTAATCCTTTGCTTTACATCTAATCTCCACTAACGAGTGATTACATACCATGTTTGTCTTTCTGAGTCTGGGTTACCTCACTCAGGATGATTTGTTCTGGTTCCATCCATTTGCCTGCAAATTTCATGACATCATTGTTTTTTTTAACCACCCAGTAATATTCCATTGTGTATATGTACCACATTTTCTTTATCCATTCTTCAGTTGAGGGACAACTAGGTTGCTTCCAGGTTCTGGCTATTATGAACAATGCTGCTATGAACATAGTTGAGCACGTGTCCTTGTGGTATGTTTAAGCATCCTTTGGGTATATGCCCAAGAGTGGTATTGTTGGGTCTTGAGGTAGATTTCCATTTTTTTTTGAGAAACCGCCATACTGATTTCCAAAGTGACTGTACAAGTTTGCATTCCCACCAACAGTGTAGGAGTGTTCTCCTCACTCCACATCCTCTCCAACTTAAGCTGTCATCAGTGTTTTTGATCTTAGCCATTCTGACAGGTGTAAGATGGTATCTCAGAGTCGTTTTGATTTGCATTTCACCAATGACTAAGAAAGTTGAGCAATTCCTTAAATATCTTTCGGCCATTTGAGATTCTTCTGTTGAGAATTCTGCTTAAATCTGTCGCCATTTTTAAATTGGATTATTTGGTATTTTGATGTCTAATTTCTTGAGTTCTTTATATATTTTGGAGATCAGCCCTCTGTAAAATGTAGGGTTGGTGAAGATCTTTTCCCATTATGTAGGCTGTCGTTTCATCTTATTTACTGTGTCCTTTGCCTTACAGAAGATTCTCAGTTTCAGGATGTTAATGTTTAATTGTTAATCTCAGTGTCTATGCTACTGGTGTTATATTTAGGAAGTGGTCTCCTATGCCAGTGCATTCAAGGCTACTTCCCAATTTTTCTTCTATCAGGTTCAGCGTAACTGGATTTATGTTGAGGTCTTTGATCCACTTGGACTTGAGTTTTGTGCATGGTGATAGATATGGATCTATTTGCAATCTTCTACATGTTGACATACAGTTATGCCAGCACCATTTGTTGAAGATGCTTTCTTTTTTCCATTGTACAGTTTTGATTTCTTTGTCAAAAATCAGATATTCATAGGTGTGTGGATTTATGTCAGGGCCTTCAATTCGATTCCACTGATTCATGTGTCGTCTATTTTATGCCAATACCAAGCTGTTTTTATTACTAAAGCTCTATAGTAGAGCCTGAAGTCAGGGCTGGTGATGTCTCTGGAAGTTTCTTCATTGTACAGGATTGTTTTAGCTATCCTGGGTATTTTGCTTTTCCATATGAAGTTGAGTATTGTTCTTTCGAGGTCTGTGAAGAATTGTGTTGAGATGTTGATGGTGATTGCATTGAATCTGTACATTGCTTCTGGTAAGATTGCCATTTTTACTATGTTAATCCCACCGATCCAAGAGCTTGGGAGATCTTTCCATTTTCTTATAACTTCCTCAATTTCTTTCTTCAAAGACTTGAAGTTCTTGTCATACAAGTCTTTCACTTGTTTGGTTAGAGTTACCCCAAGATATATTATCTATGGCTATTATAAAGGACATTGTTTCTCTGGTTTCTTTCTCAGCACGTTTATCAATTGTACATAGGAGAGCTACTGATTTTTTTAGTTAATCTTGCATCCTGCCACAATACTGAAGGTGTTTATCAGCTGTAGGAGTTCCCTGGTAGATTTGGGAGTCACTTATGTATACTATCATATCATCTGCAAATAGCGAAAGTTTGACTTCTTCCTTTCCAATTTGTATCCCCTTGATCTCCTTTTGTTGTCTTATTGCTCAAGCTAGAATGTCTGTCCAGGACCTTCTGGCTTTCAGGGTCTTAATTGAGAAGTCGAGTGTAATTCTGATAGGTCTGCCTTTATATGTAACTTGGCTTTATTTTTTTGCAGCTCTTAATATTCTTTCTTTATTCTGTATGTTTGGTGTTTTTATTATTATGTGAAGAGGGGACTTTTTTTGTCCAGTCTATTTAGTGTTCTGTAAGCTTCTTGTGCCTTCATAGGCATATCCTTCTTTAGGTTGGGAAAGTTTTCTTCAATAACTTTGTTGAATATATTTTCTGTGCCTTTGAGCTAGAATTGTCCTTTTTCTATCCCTATTATTCTTAGGTTTGGTCTTTTCATGGTGTCCCAGATTTCCTGGATGTTTGTGTTAAGAATTTTTTGGATTTAACATTTTCTTTGACCAGTGAATCTATTTCCTCTATTGTATCTTCAATGTTTGAGATTCTCTCTTCCATCTTTTGTAGTCTGTTGGTTATGCTTGCATCTGTTTCTGTTCATTTACCCAGATTTTCCAATCCCAGAATTCCCTTTGTTTGTGTTTTCTATATTGCCTCCATTTCAATTTTCAAGTCTTGAATTGCTTCCTTCACTTGTTTGATTTTTTTTCTTGGTTTTCTTTATGGGATTTATTGATTTCCTACATTTTTTGTCTTTTTCTCAATTTCTTTAAGGGAATTTTTTCATTTCTTCTTTAAGGGCATCTGTCATCTTCATAAAGTTATTTTTAAGGTCGTTTTCTTCTGTTTCATCTGTGTTGGGATGTTCAGGTCTTGCTGTTGTAGAACCACTAAGTTTTGGTAATACCATATTGCTCTTTATGTTGTTGAATATATTCTTACTCTGCCATTTACCCATCTGGGTTTGTGATAATTATAGGTACAGGTGTTGATTCTTGTGATTTTTTTTTTGTGTTGGATGGGTCTTTTGTTCCTTTAATTGTCTTTTGGCCTGAATGGACAAGGGTTCTGCTGACTGGCTGGTTGTCAGGTCAGCTGGGATTTATATGGGTTTGTATGCCTAGATCCAGGGTATCGTCCAGTTCTTCTGGCTGGTGTGGGCTTTACTTGTGCCTATGGGGTTTGTTCTTCCAGCTGGTGTGGGTTTTGCTTGTGCCTGTTTTCCCAGCTGTTGGGGGTGACATTTGTTCCTATAGGATCTGTTGATGTTGCTGGAGAGGGCTGTTCACATGGAGGCTGCTCTTCTTCCAGTTGGTGCAGGTGGTCCTTATTGCCTGTTTTCTAACGAGAGTAGGAAAGGGGTTGATTTGTTGGGTGGAGAGTTTGGGGAGGATCTTGGAGGAGTTGGGGTAGGAGAAACACAATCAAAATATATTGTATAAAAAAAATCTATTTTCACTAAAAAATAAAAAATAAAATAAAACTTTAAGAACTCATATTCATAGTTGCTGGGAGCTAAGATGTAAATATACCATTTGGAGGAAAACAATTCTACTTGTTGCAGTAATAAAATAATTGATAACATTAAAGTTTAATTCATAAGCTAACCTTAATATCCATTTGTCCATAAATAATAAATAAGTAAGTAAATAAATAGAGCATAATGAATAAATATTTCTTTTGTAACAAGTACATTAGTAAATGTATATGAGGGTTGAGAGAAATGAAAGATCACTGTTAGGCAATCACCACAATAATAATTATAATTGGAAAATCCTACAATTTTTATGTGCTATAATAATTTGTGGGTAAAGCTGTAGGAGAAACAAGAAATTTGCACAATCTGAAGGTGTTTATGCAGAAGTATTTAATAATTACAAAGTGAATATTATATTTACTGTAAGAAAACTTTAACCTAGTGATCAAGATTAACTAGTAATGAATCACATTAAGTAACTCCAATAGGATATACTCACATGTACATAGCATATTTTAAGTGTTGTTACTGCCCAAATGGCAAAACTGCTAATAGAGTTAATGTAAGCTATCAGAAAATAAAAACGAATTCAGGCTTACCTTACTTCAAAAGGCTCGATGTCATGAAATACAAGAAAGCACTGGGAAACTTCAAGACACTAAGGTAACATGACAACTAAATGCATCTTGGGTTGGATCCTGGAACAAATAAAAGATGTAAATGAAAAATAGTGGATGAAATGCCAATAAAGGATGGATTCAATTGTTTTCCACAAAGGATCATTTCCTTGTTTTTGTAACTATGCTATGACCATGTAAACTGCTATCAGTGTAGGAAGATGGACAGAGAATCTATGAGAATGAGCTGGACTCGGTTTTCAATTTCCTGTAAGTTATAAAAATATTTCAGAAAAAATAATTTAAAAGATAAGAAATATATACATTCTTAGCGGAAGGCACAAACATTCATTTTGGATTTGTTAAAACTTCAAAGAGGGAATGATTGCAGCTCTAGGAAGGAGTAAAACTTTGCCAGACAGAAACAGGTGTGGAATGGTAGAACACCAGGCATGGACACAGTGGGCCGCTAATACTAAACGCTTTAATGGGCCGCTAATACTAAACGCTTTAAAGGGCAGTGAGTACAATTCTGATTCTTCTTGACTCCATTTCTGTTGGTAATATTTGGATTTTGATTTATTCCATTTTTCCTGGTTTTGTGAATACATTTGCACAAGTCTTCACAAATCTCTTTCTATATATATTTGTGCAAGTCTTCACAAATCTCTCTCTCTTACACACACACACACACACACACACACACACACACACATACACACACACACACACACACACACACACACACACACACACACACACGTCTGAGAAAGAGACAGGAGATATGCCTTTTTCTTGAATCCATACAGGAAGAGTTATTATTCTGCAATGCAAACTAGGTTGTGAAAGAATTACTTGCTAAAGCGTAAAGTTAACATTTAAAAGAGTAACAACTTTGCTTTCCCATATAACATGGTTTATGTGGAAATATTCAGAACTGTCTCTGTTTATTGTATTTTCTATTTCTTAGAATTTGTCCTTGGAAGTAAATTTGGATAAGGAATTGTTCAGAAAAATGCTTCAGTTGGGGAATTGTTTCCAAGTCCTGTAAAATTATCTTTCAAGAAAATTTCATGTTTCTGATTGGTCCTCAAACTTGATAATGTCTTGCTTTAGAAATAATGTTTTAATTCATATCTTTGTTCCCAGGAAGTATAAATATTTGTAAAACTGTTCTTACAAATTAAAAAAGGCTACTGATAATATTCTTTGCCCACACATAGAAAAGTCTAAGACTCTATTGGAGTTATTATTTTAACAATTAACAACGTTGTCTCCAAGAAAGTTTCTTAGAAATATCTTTATAATTAGGAGCTCATATTCTGTTTGTTCATCATTAACTGGTATAATAAGGTTAAGACAATATCACCAGCTGAAAAGAGAGTCACTGAAGATAAGCTTGTAAAAGTAGACAGTATTTGTTGTGAAAGGTCTTAAATGCTACTCTAAAGAGAGAGGAAAAAGTTTTGCACATGAACTTCTTTCCTGTTTACTCTATTTGGTAAAAATACTTAAAATTTTGCCCATTTTTATTTTCTTTTACCTGTAAAGATGGAAAACTTCTGACTCTCAAGAGAAATTCTGTTCTACCAGTTCTTAAAAGATACAAAGTTGTAGAAGTCTCTAAATTTTTTGTGTTAGTTTCATGTGCTGTTATTAAATTAAATCATTTTTTTCTATATTGAAATGAATCCTACCGACCATGTCATACCTAGTGTGCTATTCATATGAGTCTCTGTTCCCCTAGTTTCCCCTTGTGGGTTCTGATTCATATGAGATTATCATATTAATCTTACCTTCTTCATCAGTGTAAATGGTTAACATGTCCCAGGTTTAATCTCAATCTCTCTCTGTCTCTGTCTCTGTCTCTCTGTCTCTGTGTGTGTGTGTGTGTGTGTGTGTGTGTGTGTGTGTGTGTGTGTGTGTGTATGTCTCTGCAATACTGGAATTAGAACCTAGGGCTGGATGAATACTAGGCAAATGCTCTACCACTGAGCTATATTCCCAACCCTCTTGTATTTTACATAAGGTAGGGTCTCATACTGTAGCCTAGGCTAGCCCAGAACTCACTTATGCAGCTCAAGCTGACTTCAAACTCCAGGCATTCCTCCTGTCTCAGTCTCATGAGCATTGGAATTACAGGTGTGTGTGCCCACGCCCAGCTCCTGTTTAATTTCAATGGCTGCCTGCAAAGGTTCTACACAAGACAATTAATCATAGATTGGAGAGGGTTAATGGGTAACTACCCCCTATGAATTATTAGCTATTGTATCCACTGAGGAGCACACCAGCTGCAGGACTCGAGCTGAGTGGCCCCTGTACTTTACCTGGCCAGCACAGTAGAGCTGATCTTGGTGCTGTAGGTGTGGGTGAGTCAGTCCCGAGGGTTTGAGAGCAGAACTGACCCCCTTGCTGCTTACTGCATAGGGTGAGCTAGCTGAGGTGGTGCTGGAGAGCTGACTCTGGTGGTGAGGATAAGGGAGAGCTGGTGCACTGACCAACCCAGCAACCACCCAGGCCCAGAACCAAGGCTTTGAGTTGGCCCATCCCAACATCCACCCCATCTATGATCTGCTGGAGCAGATGAAGGGGTCAGTTCTGCAGACCCAAAACTGCAGGATCTCCATGACACAGGATAACAACCGGATATCCAGGAGGAGTCCCAGTGAGGGCCCAGTATTGCTAGTGTGGCAGAAGCCAGAAGCCTTGAACCAGACCAATGACTCATTGCAATGAACATTTGCAAGTAAAGATGTATGAACTAAAGGGTATACTGTATGACTCACTGCGTCACACTGCACTTTCTACAACGAGATTTTCCTTTTTTTCTTTTCTTTTGAATTTTTTTTTTATCTTGTGAGGGAGGTTGCAAGGGCAGAGGGAAGATGGGAAGGAACAGGGAGATGAGTGGGATTGAAATGTATGATGTGAAATCCACAAAGAATCAAAGAAAAGTTAAATTTAAGAACATAAACTTCCGAGCCGGGCGGTGGTGGCGCACACCTTTAATCCCAGCACTTGGGAGGCAGAGCCAGGCAGATCTCTGTGAGTTCGAGGCCAGCCTGGGCTACCAAGTGAGTTCCAGGAAAAGGCGCAAAGCTGCACAGAGAAACCCTGTCTCGAAAAACCAAAAAAAAAAAAAAAAAAAAAAAAAAGAACATAAACTTCCAAAAAAGGTAGTTCCCCTTAGCCAACACACTGATAAAGGGGAAAACTAACAAGGCAAAAAAAAAAAAAATTAAACCAATGTATAATTGAACAAACTACTGACAGAAAAATCATCACCAAATGAGTTTTAGTGTAATTACACAGGGAAATTATCTTTCTTCCCAGGCCCTTTTTGTGTTTCCCAGCAGTACTGTCTCAGTGAGTACAAGTAAGAAAATGATTTATTTCCCTTCAGGAGAGGCAGAAAAAAATCATTTACCTTTGTGGAGTAAGGTTGGAAGGGTTTAGCAGGTATCTTAGTTTCTTCTGTGTACCTGTGATAAAATACTCTGACAAAAGAAACTTAAAGGTTGGAAAGTGTTTACTTTAGCTCACAGTTCAAGGAAAGGTCAGGACAGCAAGAGCTTTAGACATCTGGGCACATTACATTCACAATCAGAAAACAGAGAGGGATAAACACATGCTCCTGCTCAGCTGCCTTTCTCCATTTATATAGCCCAGAATCGCCTGTCTAGAGAATGGCAACACCCAGAGTGGGCTGGTCTTTCTACCTGAACATACTCAAGATAATCCCCACAGGCATGCCTAGAAACCCATCTGCTAGGTGATTCTGGAGTTGATGAGCATAGTATTCTCCATCCGTTTTAGAGGATAAACTGATAGGGCTCCAACTCCTCTCCTGGGATACTATTAATGAAGCTGATATGGGAGAATTTTTCTGTCTTATGCCTGAAAGAAGCAGAGAAGTATCATGATTCCCTGCTAGATTGGTGCAGAAGACTGATGGAGAGAGCAGATCTTTCACCTTACTTGCCACCAATAATCCAGAAGGAATAAAGAAGAAATGAAATTAAGCAGATTTGCTGTCCTCCCTCCCCATAATGTCAGTAGGGTCCAACTGAGGATTGACTTTCTTTCTAATCTAGTGATTTGATACAAGTCAGTATTGTGCTTTATAACTCCACGACACATAAAAACTAGAAGAGTGCGGCCGGGCGGTGGTGGCGCACGCCTTTAATCCCAGCACTCGGGAGGCAGAGCCAGGCGGATCTCTGTGAGTTCGAGGCCAGCCTGGGCTACCAAGTGAGTTCCAGGAAAAAGGCACAAAGCTACACAGAGAAACCCTGTCTCGAAAAACCAAAAAAAAAAAAAAAAAAAAAAACTAGAAGAGTGCAATGTTGTTCAACACTACGGATATCAGGAGCCACTGAAACAGGATGAGTATCTATAAAATGAGAAGATGAAATAGAATTCAAATTATCATACCATAATACACAAAATATCCAGGATACAAATGAAAATTAATCACAACTTGAACAACTAAAAAAATCCAGATATTGAAAATGAGATTACAAATGTTAGAATTATTTGATATTTTCTACAGTAATCATAAAAATGTTTCAATACGAAATTGTAAGCATTCTTGAAAAAAAATGCTATAAAATTTCAGATAATATATATAAAATAAGGAAAATGACTAAAGAGCACTTATAAAATGGAAAAATATAACAAAAGATGTATCAGACAAAATAATGGGTGGACGTGAACTCAAAGACATATCAACATAAATCATTCAACATGAAAAACAGAGGGCATAGACACTTAAAACAAATATGAACAAAGAAAAGACCTTTGAGAATAATAACAACAAAAGTTCTGCCTTTTAAAACTCAAATCGCCAAAGTAGAGACATGTGGGAGTCTAAGAAAATGGCCAAACAAAAAACTACTAAAAATAGAATCAATATGTGGTGGGCATAATTACAAATTCAAAGTGATAGTACACTATAAACTGGAACAATCAACTGAGTTTTATACTAAAATACATTACAAATACAGTTTTCAGCAAATACAAAATTACTGAGATAAATGCAAGGTATGACATACTGACCAATGAAAGAAGGCAAATTTAAATGACATCATAGTTTTCATCCGAAACCATGAAGTTCAGTGGGAACAATCACATTTTTACAAGTACAAAAAGTAATTCTCAGTCATGAAACTTGTATCTGAATGAAGAAGACACAAGGCATTCCGCAAAGGAAAAAAATAATGCACAAAAAAGAGGGAGAATTTATTGCTAAGACACCTCCCTAAAACCTGGCAGAAGAAACTTATCCCAGGCTGGAGAGATGGGTCAGCAGTTAAGAGCACTGGCTGCTCTTCCAGAGGTCCTGAGTTCAATTCCCAGCAACCACATCGTGGCTCACAACCATCTATAATAGAATCTCATGTCCTCTTCTGGCATGCAGGCATATATGCAGAGCACTCATACATAAAATATAAATAAGTAAATTAATAAATAAAAAGAAACTTATCAAAAAAGAAAAGACATATAATGGAATAAATTTTAAAACTGCAAGGAAGAAAGTATATTAGAATTAGTAATTAGCTTTTCATCATGAATTGTTTAAGTCTTACTTTGTGGATGAAGCACAGATTATAACATCTCAGGTAGAACTCTGCTTACAGACCAAATAATTAAGATAATTATATTTTGAAATTGTGATGGAAAGGGAAAATTAAATGGAAGTGAATTTTCTACACAGTATTAAAAATACCAAAAGTTAGCTGGGCAGTGGTGGCACACTCGGGAGGCAGAGGCAGGCAGATCTCTGTGAGTTCGAGTCCAGCCTGGTCTACAGAGCGAGATCCAGGACAGGAACCAAAACTATACAGAGAAACCCTGTGTGGAAAAACCAAAACCAACCAACCAAACATACAAAACAAAAAAACCCCACAAAAGTTAAATGTCTTTATTATAATAACTAGAATAGCCTATAAAAGAGTTACATAGTGGTATAATTAACAACAATATAAATAAACTTAAAGATAATTTTAATTATTTAAGTAATGCAGAACACTGCAAAGAGAGAGAAAAATGAAATATATGGACCAAACACATAAAGTTTAAAATGTCTATGTAATTTTAAGCATAAAATTTAAAACTTTTAACATATCAGTCACATAAGAAAATTACCTTAACAACAAAATATGTGTATAATTTCCCCTATAATTAACATAATAATTGTGATAAACTGAATATTTCCCACTCAAGGTCAGGAACAAGGCAAATATGCTCACATTCATCACAGTTTTCCAAGGCATTATTATAAGATTTAGCCAGTGGAATAAGGCAAAATAAAGAAATGAGATGAAGCCAGGCGGTGGTGGCGCACGCCTTTAATCCCAGCACTCGGGAGGCAGAGGCAGGCGGATCTCTGTGAGTTTGAGGCCAGCCTGGTCTCCAAAGCGAATTCCAGGAAAGGCGCAAAGCTACACAGAGAAACCCTGTCTTGAAAAACCAAAAAAAAAAAAAATGAGATGAATACAAGTTGGGATGAAATCAATATAAACATTTTCAGATGGTATAATTAATAATGAGAGCCATCCCAAAATTCAAAGAAAAATATCTTAGAATTATTAAATGTGTATGAGTATAAGAAGAGCACAAAATACAAGATCTCATATGACACAAAATTATTTGTAAATTTCTCAAAATAAAATCAAATCCATAAAGAATAAAACTAACAAAACATGTATAGAATCTTTAGGGTGAAATGACAAAACCTTTTTGGTGAAAGAAACTGAATGAGCCAAATAAGATGATTAATGGTTAACAAGATAACTCAAACTTATGTGTGACTCTGGAAGACAAGAATTGGGGTAGCAAAAGACAAACTTTGCTCTACAGTTAAAAATTGAAGAGAAGCATCTGAAAACATGGAACAGATGACAAAATAGGTTAAAAAGCATGAGGCAATACAGAATGGGAAAAGATCTTCACCAACCCTACATCTGACAGAGGGCTGATCCCCAAAATATATAAAGAGACTAGACAGCAGAATACCAAACAATTCAATTAAAAAATGGACTACAGAGCTAAACAGAGAATCCCAAATGGCCAAAAGACATTTAAGGAATTGCTCAACATCCTTAGTCATCAGGGAAATGCACATCAAAATGACTCTGAGATACCACCTGTCAGAATGGCTAAGATCAAAAACACTGAAGACAGCTTATGTTGGAGAGGATGTGGAACAAGGTTAACACTCCTCCACTGCTGGTGAGATATCAGTATGGCAGTTTCTCAGAAAATTGGGAATCAATCTCCCCCAAGATCCAGCTATACCACTCTTGGGCATACACCCAAAGGATGCACAAACATACCACAAGGACACTTGCTCAACTATGTTCATAGCAGCATTATTCATAATAGCCAGAACCTGGAAACAACCTAAATGTCCCTTAACTGAAGAATGGATAAAGAAAATGTGGTACATATACACAATGGAGTACTACTCAGCAGTAAAAAAACAATGACATCATAAAATTTGCAGGCAAATGGATAGAACTAGAAAATATCATCCTGAGTGAGGTAACCCAGACTCAGAAAGACAAACATGGTATGTACTCACTCATAAGTGGATACTAGATGTAAAGCAAAGAATAATCAGATTACAACCCACAGCTCCAGAGAAGCTAGGAAACAAGGAGGACCCTAAGAGGGATGTACGGATAACCTTGGGAAGGGGAAACAGAGGAGATCCCGATGAGTAAACAGAAGATGGGGGCGCAAAAGAGGGTAGGGGTGGGGGGTGAGAACATAAGGAACAGGATGGTCGATCTGGGGGAGGGACGGAGTGGGAGAGCAATGAAAGAGATATCTTGATAGAGGGAGACATTATGGGGTAAGAGAGAAACCTGGTGCTAGGGAAATTCCCAGGAATCCACAATGATGACCCCAGATTAGACTACTAGCAGTAGTGGTGAGGGTGCCTGAACTGGCTTACCCTGGTAATCAGATTGGTGAATATCTTAACTGTCACCATAGAGCCTTCATCCAGTAAGTGATGGAAGCAGATGCAGAGATCCACAGCCAAGCACCAGGCCAAGCTCTGGGAGTCCAGTCAAAGAGAGGGAAGAGGGATTATATGAACAAAGGGGTCAAGATAATGATGGGG